CAAATAAAGTATACATTTTCTCAAAAGTGATGAATAAATGTTTAAAGGTAAAAAAAAAAGTCCTAATCAGATTCCATTCTTTCATCAAGGTTTTCTATTCTTTTTTCCCCTGAAATAGGATTTTTTTAAACTTCCATTCATTCATTGTTACACAATTTCCTCCCTGCCCACCCCTCCACCCCTAGTTTGCTTTTATTGTTGATAAGTTAAAAAAAATATAAAGCTTTCAATGTTACACAATCCCCTCCCCCAGTCCACCCCACTATGCAGGTTTCATTCTGGACTCTTGTAATGACAATAATACCTAATCATATATTCCCCCTAAACAGTATTCTCCCTCATCTGTTTCAATATAGTATATATTCTGTATCCTCTCTTAGTTTCCCCCCCAACTCCGATGTCAGTCCCATTTTACAACAGTGGCACTACGCAGTATTTGTCCTTTTGTGACTGATATATTTCCCTCAGCATAATGGTTCTCTATTCTAATTTCTCAGACCAAGTATGAATTTAAGGAGTCATCTTTACAGTGGCTGCAACTATAGACTCAAACAGCAAAAGCTGTGAGGAGTGGGCAGCATCTCTTGTATACTAGGCTGCTATAAGTAAGCATTTACTCAATGACCTCTAACAACAATAACAGGAAACGGATACAATAGTAATTGGGAAATGTGAACAGTTAGATGTTTTGAGTTATTTAAGAATAATGATGAACTTGTTAAAAAAAAGTCATGTTTGAGTCTTCTTTCTCTCAAATTTATTATATAATATGCCAGCAACCCTATAAGGTCAATCTTCTGATGGTACAGGAAGTTAGAACTTTTACTAAAGTGAGTTCCTGAGTATATAAACAATCAACATATAATGAACATAAAGATTCCTAGCCTGGCTTACCTTTCTTCATTGTTTCCTTATAACCCACAACTTGTTCTTCCTGTGGCATTTGAGATAATTTCTGCGCAAACAAGTTCTCTAAAGCTTTTGCCATTATAATAATGTCATCTTCAGGCTGAAAATGAACATACAGTACTTATCCAGTGTGGTTACTATCAAATTCGTTAATTTAGCCTGTCCAACAGAAGTAGGGACATAGTACCCTAGACAATATTTATCTCATATCATTAAATGTAAATTATGGTAAAGTAGATCACATTTATATTCTAGCATCCTATTCCTCCAAATTCTAAAAATGGAATAGTATACCTATAGTGTCACTCTAAGTTGTAGTTGTAGTCAATTTAATGGCATCTATCAACAACCCGTCTTTTTTAAGCTTACTGATGCTGTTGTGTACCATTCAAGCCTGAACCGACTCACAACTGACCCTCCAGCGGGTTTTCAGAGGCAGTTAATCAAATGGGAGGAGACTGCCCATCCTTCTCCCACAGGGCAGCTGGTGGATTTGAACCTGGTTCCTTCAAGACTGCAGTGCAGTTTCTCATCACTAGGCCACCAGAGCTGCCTATCTAGTCATTGTTGTTGTGTGTGTTGTGTACTACAGAGTTGGTTCACCTTGCTGTGATGCCATTTTCAATACTATTAGCTTAGAAGTATTCTTCTTCCTTTATTTTACCGTTTTGGGGAGCTCCCCAAT